CACTCTTTGGTTTATGACAGTATGACTCGTCTCTGACTCCACCTTCCCGTGGCCTCTTCCCTTTCTGTCCGTGTGTCTCTGTTTTTTGGAGGCTTAGAGAGATGTCGTGTTTAATGGCAAAGCATAGCACACTCAGCACTGGGCATGGCCTGGGGTTGAAACATCAGGAGTGGATAGGTGACCCCCCGTGGAGCGCCACCTGGCAAAGAGGATGAGGAAAGTGCCCATCAAAGAGAAGAGCCTAGAATGGCAAAGGGAGGAACTGCTGCTGGAGAGATGAGTCTTCACATTGTCCTGGTGTCTGTTTTCTCTTGGCCTAAGGACATCAGTTACGTTGGATTAGGGCCCACACTAATGACCACGGGGTTACAGCTGGGGAGACCCTGTTTCCAAATAAGGTCACATTCACAGACACCAGGGGTTAGGACTTCCACACATCTTTCAACTCCTAACATGTACTTTCAGCTCAGAGAACCTCTGTCCTTTCCTTGCTTTGGCAGTTATGGTATAATAATATAATAAATATATTTACCAAGCCCCTGGCTAATACTCTTCCTACATAAAATGTCCCTGCATAGGAGGCTTCGAGTTAGGTAAAACTAATTAAGCAATGACTTTATAAATTCTGCAGTTAAATCCATTAAAATATTTCAGCTCTATTTTGGATTGAGAGGAGTTAGAAATAAATATTCGGGCCACTGACTGTAAGAGAACCTCAGTATGATGTATTGTACATACATAGGGAAAAAAAAATTCAGGCTGATGATGTTTTGATAAAGATGGAACCAACAGCTTTGTAAAATGGTAGAATCTTAAAGAATTGTGCAGCCAAGTAAATCTTGTTAAGGAATTGCTCGCTGGCTTTTAAAAGTGGCAGAGTGCAAGGGAGTTAATGGTTTGCGTGGTCCCTCCTACCGGCAATGGCCTGCCGATTGCTGAGCAGCCGCCAGTGGAGGGTTCTGTGCGCAGTGCTCGCACACCTCTACCTAGTCTCCCCGGGCGCTGGGACACCTCTGTTCAATGATTCTCACCACGGCTTCCCGGCAGGAGTTACGTCCCCGCTCTGCAGAGGTGGAAGCTGAGTTTCCAGGACGTTAAAAGGCTGGGCCCGCAGTCTCGCAAGCAGTAAGTGGGGCCGGGCAGCCTGCACCCTAGACAGCCTGCTGCTCCCCCTCGCAGCGCCCCTCCCGCGGTCAGACCCCCCTCCTGCAATGCAGAAGGAGAGCTGTCTGTTGCTGTTGCACATTTCACATCAAAAGCCTCTCGACTTCATTCAAGGGATGGAAATAAACATTAAGTAAGTGTTGGGAGAATGGTAACAGGAATCTGGAAAATCTTAGATTCAGTGTTACTACCCCTCTGTTTGGCAGAGTCTAGAGCTGTTTTTGGATATTCTCATTTTCTCCCTTGCTTATGAGGTAGGATTGCCCTTCCTGGCCCCCTTTGAAGTGAGGTATGGCCATGTGGCCTGTTTTGTCTAACGAAATAGTAGTGGAAGTAACCCCTGGGTCCTTCTGGCAGAAGCTCCAAGAGCCGGTGTGAAATGCACCACATTCTTGTGCACTGCCTTTCAATTGTGCAAGCACAAGTTGAGGTGGACCTCTGCCTGGTCCCCGGTCCCTGAGCGGCTGTGGGGAGCAGAGCCCCTGCCAGCTCAGCGTGGATGAGGAGAATGTGCAGCAAAGGATCTTCTGGTGCTGTCAAGCCACTGAGATTTTGGAACTCTTTGTAACTGCTGCATATTCTAGCTCCCTGTGACGGATTCAACACATTTAAGAACAAAACATAGAAAGTAGAAATTCACCCAAGATTCCCAGCACAGAAGATTATTTCAAAAATAACTCTTTAAGGCTTCTTGCAGAAGACTCTCGTAACATGTCTAAGATGTTAAAATGGAAAGCCTAAAGAATAGCTTTAATGCATGAGGCTTCGAAGGCCAAAGTGGTATTAAATCCACGAGATGGTTAGACAACCATCTAGTGCTATGAAATTTTTTTCTTCTATATTTAAAACTTTGGTTTACCAAGAAATGTTTGTTCATTGTTCTTGCACCAAGGAAAACAGTTTGACACATAGGGAATGAGGAGGAAATTGGTGGTTGGGAAACCAGAGGACACACGAACAGTGTCACCTTTATCCAGGCAGCACTGTGAGAACGGTAACGGGGTTTCACTCTTAACTTCTGTGGCAAGAGGACCATGTGTCTAAGATGGATCTTCTATTACAGCTAGTATCTTGTTTCCAGCCTGTCGTTGCTGGCTTCACCTGGCTTTAAATTTTGCTTTGCCTTGCAGTTACTCAGTTTAGTGTTTGAAAAGTCTGTGTTTATTCATGGTGCCGTGCACTTGTATCTCACTCCGCACAGTCAACTCAGTTTTTGATGAACAAGCCATGGTTTTAGAAATCGAGAACTGTTACCACTTGACAAGAGAAAATTTCCTACATTCCCCCTAGAGCTGGAATAAGAAAAATGACAGTGGATATTGAGGAGTTTCTGAGATTTCAGGAAATTTGTAAGAGTCAAAAAAATCGGTCTTCTGCCATAAATTTATACTGCCTAGTTTAGTCTTAGATGCAGCAGCATCTTTCATTTGATTTACTGCCCTTTGTTATATTACTATTTAAACATTTCTGTGATATAAACTTCATCGAGGAAAAAAGGCATTTTCTTTTCAACTAGGGTCAAATGGTGATGCACTGTTTATTATTAGAAGTACTATTAATTGCAAGACTTTTATGCTTTTAGTATATGAATAGCAATTTTCTAATATTCTAGTCTTTTAAGATTTAACATGTTTCAAGTCATGTGTCAAGAATATCAAAACTAATAATAATATCAACTTTAGAGATGATCTAGTTCAGGGGTCCTTATTTCTTGGAGAGGAATCTCTTTCAAACATTATCTGACATGGTATCCAATACATAATGCAGATTCTTAACATTATAAAATTTTACAATTTCAAACATACTTATTATAGGGTCAATTAGTGAGGGGGAATGTACTGTTGTGAACAGCATGAAGACTTCATTTGAAAGGGCATTGGCCTTCACTTTGTATGTACTTTGTTTCATTTGGCAAGTATTTTAAAATACTGAATTACATGGTAAGTAGCTGCAAGTGGTAACAGTTTTTATTAGTTTGTTTTACAAGGTTCACTCTGAATCCTTGGGAGACTTCAGTTTTATAGGACCACAGAAAAGTTAATTTAGCAGCACAAGTTAATGTGAAACTGTTGAGTGGTGTTTTTTAAAATCTAGCTTTAAGGTAATTTTTAAAAAGTCAAATAAAAAATTTGCAGAATCCCAAAACTGCACAGAACAGCATTTGAAAACTATTAATTATGCTTTCTGTAACAATATCTCTGTGGAGTGACAGTGTAGATTCTGGTTATACTATTTTTTGAAGAAATTGTCAAATATTGGAGAAAATGTGAAAATAGCCCTCACTGAAAAAGGTTAGGTTAACATGAGTAGATCCTCATTAAAAAATAAGTTGTGTTCTGGAAGTTTCAGAATTTTTTTTTAAATTTCCATTTTTCACGACATTAAGAGTGGTTGCCAGCCCAGCCTACAAATTATTTATGCCGTAAGTGACTGCAATAACAATATTTAGCTACCTTTTGTTTATGTATGCACTTTTAAGTTAGCTTGGCATTTAAAAGACCCTCATGGCTATTTCCATGGGATTTTTAAAAATCTGATTTGCGGCCTTGGCCAGGTAGCTTAGTTGGTTAGAGCATCATCCAGATATGCCAAGGTTGTGGGGTTTGATCCCTGGTCAGGGCACATAGACGAATCAGCCAATGAACGCATAAATAGGTGGAACAACCAATCGATGTGTCTCTCTCTCCCCCTCTCTCTGCCCTCCCCTACCTCCTCTCTCTCTAAAAAAAATCAATTAAAAAAAATCTGACTTGCAGCCCTGGATTGGAAACTTTCTCTATCCATTCCCACTGTGAGGCAGCAAAGAGAGTGAAGAATTTTTATTCCCTGGTTGGGAAATTTTTATCCCTGCACAAAAGCAACTGCTCTCTCTTCTTTGAAGAAGAATCATAGATCCTAGTGTTAGAAAGGAATTCTGAAGATGCCCTACTTTGTTCTGTGCCTTTACGTGCATGGTTTTGTAAAGCTGTCAAAGAGAAAAATTTACAGAAGGAAACACATTTTGCATTGCCTTAGCAAGCTAGATCTTTAGAGGAACCCTGTGGCAAACACTTTTGCAAGGCAAATGCCCCTCTAAGGTGGCATCTGGGTCAAGGGAAAGCTTCTGACGCTTTAAAAAGCCTTTAGAAGTCGGCTGCATTCCCCACGTGATGAGAGTAATCAGCGCAATGGGTCCTCCTTGAGCACAATCCCAGTCTCTGCGCAGCCAACGTCCCAGCCCCCTTGTGACCCAGGCACCATGCCCCCTAATTACCTTCCACTCGGTGGTGCCAGGCACTCCTCTGTGGGCTGGCAGGCCTCTCAGGATGCCACCGGCTTCAGATTAAATTCCCCACAGTGATTATAGGCTGTTTGGCCCCAAAGTTAAATTGAGAACTAAAAATGTGATCATAATCACCTGTGATTCCCTCATGCCACTTCCAACTGATGAGTCTGGGTAACAAGCGTAACATGAGGATTAGTTGTGGGTTTTGATGTGGAATTACATAGGCAATTGTCATATGAAGAATTATAGTAAATAAGACCGTGCGTTAAAATTCTGAACCCACTGCTCACTTGTATGACACTACAGAGGGACTAATTTATTTAATTGCCCTAAGCTTGATTTGGAAGGTTGTTGGGAGGTCTGAAGGTAACCTTTTTGAAGTATATTAGCATAGCATGTAGTCTGTAGTGGGAGCTTTCCTAATTCTGAGTCATTTCCATCATTTTCATTATTAATGTTACTATTATTTAAGTCTTATATGGGAATATGACTAGATAAAGTAAATAAAGAAGAGTACAGAAATTCTGGTTTCTAATGGTCTGTCTCCGTCCCCATCCCGTCTCCGCTGCAGAATGTGACAAACTGCGGCGGGATGGCTGCCGGAGCTCCCAGTACTACTCCCAGGGACCCACCTTCGCTGCCAGCTCCAGTCCACCCTGCGATGAGTATCAAGATGAGGATGAGGAAACAGATCAGAAGGTAAGGCATTCCACACAGGATCCTGGATTGGACCCCAGGACAGAAAAAGGATGTAAGTGGGGACACTGGTGAAATCAGAACAAAGTCTGTTTTTTTAAAAGCTTTTCTTAGTTTTGAGAAACTAAGTGTACCATAATGATGCGGCACGCCAACATTAGGGGAAACGGCACAAGGAATTCCCACTCTTTGTGAGCTTCACCACCGCGCACCACTTCGCGGTGCTACGCCGCGGCCTCCGAGCTGGGCAGCCATCAGTATGCATCGCTTGGAACCAGACCTGTCCCTTTAGCCTTCCTCCAGGTGTTCTTCAACAGAGCTACTTTAAGCACAGGATAAGAATTCATTTTTAAAACAGGTATTTTCTAAGCACCTCCTGTGTGCCAAGGCCTATTCTAGGTCTCTGGTGAGGCACCAAGAGTGAAGAAGCGATGGTGCAGCCCTGGAGAGAGACGTGTGCTCCACAGAGAAGTCAAGCAGAATAAGGCAGGGGGGGCGGCTGCGGCTTTCAATGTCAAGGGTAGGCCTTCCTGAGCAAGGAGGTGGTTGGGGTTAAAAGAGTGAGCCATGCGGAAATCTTGGGGAAGAACAGTCCAGGAAGAAGAAGCAGTCAGTGCAATAAACGTTTCTTAAGGATATATGCTGAGTACCGGATTCTGCCACATGCAGACAGTAATAAGGTGTCTGTATGTGCCTCAGGGATCTTACGGCTCTTATGTAGAGACAACTAACCAGAATAAAAGATTTTTATTGCATTTTGCAGATAATGCCTTTCTTTTTTTCACAAACTAAAGGTTTGTGGCAACCCTGCCTCAGGCAAGTCTATCGGCACCATTTTTTGAACAATATTTGCTCACTTTGTGTCTCTGTGGCACATTTTGGCAGTTGTTGCAATATTTCAAACTTTTTCATTACTATTATGTGACCTGTTACCAGTGCTCTTGGATGTTACTAGGGCAAGACCCCCTACCAACAAAAAGATAACTCACTGAAGGCGCAGGTGATGGCTAGCATTATTTAGCATGAAGTATTTTTAAATTAAGGAATGTGCAGTGTTTTTTATAGAAATAATGTTATTGCACACTGAATAGACTACAGTATAATGTAAACATAACCTTTATTTGTACTAGGAAGCCAAAAAAAGTCCTGTGACTTGCTTTATTGTGATACCCACTTTATTTTTGTGGTCTGAAACTGAACCCTCACTATCTCTGAGGTATGACTGTATGTCGCATGCGACACTAAGTACTTGTCATATAGTCACATGTGAAAGAGAAATTCTTCTGACTTGAGCAGTCAGGAAATTGAGGGGCATCTGAAAGAGAGTAGGGAATTTAAGAAGAATAGTTAAAAGGCTACTGCAGCAGACATGACATAATAAGAACCTAGACCAAGAGAGCGGCTGTGTGAATGGTGAGGACGGGGGGAAGTTAAGAGATGATGGCGGCATTTTGGGAGTTAGGAGACAAATTTCAAGTCTTAGCCTGACACTTGCTATTTTCTTTGGATGAATCACTTGGCCCTGCAAGGCATTCATTTCCTTATCTAGCAAGTGGGGAGTGGAATAAGATTTCTCTCTGAGATATTTTTGAACAGGCTGTTTATTCATTCATTTACTCAATAAATATTTATTCAGCATCTCTAATATGCCAAGCATCGTTGTAAGTCCTGAGAACCCATCAAGTGGAAAAAAAAAAAAAAGTCTCTGCCATCTGAGGGAAAATGATGGTAAACAAACAAGTTTCCTATAGCACCAGGCGGTGATGAGTGTTATGAAGAAAACACAGGACAACGGTGAGGAGAGTTAGATAGTGACAGGGCTGCTATTTTAGACCGAGTGTCAGGAAGGACCCTATGAGGGCACCATTAGGGCAGACCTCAGAATGCCATGTGGGAAAGCACACATGTAGGAAACCACACATGAGTATCTTTGGGGAGAGTTTTCTAGGAAGAAGAGATAGTAAGTGCCAAGGCCTGGAGACAGCAATATAGCTCTCCTGTGGGAGGAATGGCCAGGGACCCGAGAGGTAGGCGGTGAATAAGGGGAAAAGAAGTGATAATGACTCTGGGGAGGTGACCAAGGGCCAGATCACATGGGACCTAATCACGGTAAGGACTTTAGATTCATTGTTCCTGGGTGAGATGAGGAGACAGTGGAGGACTTGAATGGAAAGTGGCTTGATCTGATTTTTCCATTGAATGCAATTTGTCTGTCCACTGTATGGAGACAAGACAATGAAGAGTTGAAGCTGGAAGCAGAGGCAAATCAATAGGCTATTGCAGCCATCCAGGCAAGATGTAGGGCTGGGGCCCAGGTGGCAGTGGTGGAGAGTCTAGCTTTCTTTTAAAGTAGGTTCTACAGAACTTACTGAGGTCAGGAGAAAAACGCTGAGTCAGGGATGAGTTCACCTGTCTCTCCAGCTTCATTCCTCTAGAGTCCCACCTCAGATCCGCGGACTCCAGCCTCTTTGTGCCCACCGTCATTCCTCCCCCGCTTACGTGACGTGGCCCACCTTATGTCCACTCCTTTGTGCACACATTCAACTCTGCGGGCCCCTCTCTCCTTCTGCCACTTTCCTGGAGAAATCCCAACCCCGGTTTGATCCAACCCTCCCCCTGCTCTGCACGAAAGCCTTACTCACTAAATAAGACTAGAGAAAAACACCAGGTTATGTTAGCTAGTCTCACTGTCAATCTAGGACCTCAGACTTGAAGTGCTGTGCATGAATCCTACTATATTAACTCATCAGTGTACTCTTCCACTTTCCCAAATCAGTTTTCTACCTTGTTCCTAAATCTTCAGACACCACTTTCTTTGCTCAGCTCTCAGCTACTGTCTTAGATTCCCCACTGGGGTGGGGGTGGGGCAACAATCGGAAGGCATATCCTTTCACAACCAAACCGATTCAACTGCTTCCACTCTCTCTGTATCTACTCACCTTTTCCTGCCATTGCAATGGGTGAACAATCCTCACCTATTTTCTGCCCTGTTGCGTCCCAAGTGCCGAGATTAGGACCTGGCACATAGTAGGCCTTCAGTATTTTTTCAGAGGAGTGATTAAGGCCAACCTCTCAACACCTTCATACCTGCAATTTACCTCTCTCTCTTTTGCCTAATCAGTTTTCCCTTCTCATTGTATCTTAACCATCATTATTAAACATGCTGTATTTTCTTTAATCTTGAAGAAACCCTCCTTTGACCTTTTATCCCCCTCCAAATTCTGCCACATTTTTCAATTCCCCTTTATAATAGAACTTCTCCAAAGAACTCTCTAGACTTGCTGTCAACACTGCCTTTCCTCACTTTCTCCTTTGAAGCCCCTTCAAACACCCTTTTATCCCCAGTGCGCTACTGAAACTACTCTTGTTAAGTTCACCCGTCACCTCTACCTCGCCAAATCTAATAGTTTATTCTCAGGCCTCCTGTTACATGACCTCTCAGCAGCATTTGACATAGCTTGTTGTTCTTTTCTGCTTAAACTACTTTCTTTATTTGGCTTTCAGGAGACCACACACTCTGGGTTTTCCCCCTTCCTCACTCCTCACTGGCCAATCATGTGCTTTTTGGTCATTTGCTGGTTGCTGTCCTTTCATGTCTCAGACATCCATGTAACATCGCACCTTTGCTCCTCTAGAACAGACTCACTCCTTGGGTGATTTCATTAAGTCCCATGGTTTTAAATTCCATGTATTGAAGTTTCCTAAATTTCTATCTCTAACCCAGACTCATACATCTATCTGCTTGCTATCCATCTCTACTTAAATGCCTTATAGGTATCTTCAAGTTATTCAAACCCAAATATGTGACATCCTTCTTCAAAAAAAATATGTACATATCCACTCCTTTTATACTTTTCCCTGCCTCAGTAAACCACAACCCCATTCTACCAGATGTGTAAGTCAAAAACTTGGGTACAGTCTTGATTCTTTGCATTTTCTCATACCTTCAGCGAATTCTGTAGGGTTACTAATGATTGAACCACTTCTAAAACCTCAGTTCAGACATCGTGTAATGATTAAGTTCAGCGAATGTACCTGAGAGTGAGTGGCGGGGGCATGTTGGAAGTGAAGTTGAGAAGGGTCAGAGCAGGTGTGAGAGGGAACGAACACCTGTGTCTGTTGAGCGCATGGAGTTTTAACAGGAACAGGGCGAAGGCTGCTGAGGTGAGGTCACAGGGGGGCTGAGAGAAGGAGGTGGCTTTTATTGCACAGCTCATAGGCAGTAACACATTTTTTAAGCAGAGGACTTTATGATTAGGAATAAATATTGTATACATCATCTTTTGTTAGGTGAAGATGGCATAGAATGTTAAACTTGATTTTCTAAATTGTGTAACATGTCAAACTTGACTCTGGAGCTTCTAACAAGGGGATATTTTAACAGACTGTTAGAATTCTATTTAAACAAATGGACAAATCATCAAAAATTACACCAAATAGATTTTAGAAAGTGGTAATTATGTGAGGTGATGTATGTGTTAAATAACCTTACTGTGGTAATCATTTCACAATATACACATATATCAAATCATCACACTGTACACCTTAAACTTACACAGTGTTATGTCAGTTATATCTCAATAAAGCTGGGGGAAGAAGTGAAACATTAAAAAAAAATATTGAGCTAAATTGGAAAAAGAAAAAACCCCAGCAACCACAGATGGCTTCCTATAGAGAGAAGGTTTTACTAAATAAAGCTTTTAAAGAGTAGGTTAATCCAATGCTTAACTCCTGGGGGGCGGGGGAAGAAGGAAAAGATGCGATTTCTTTTTTATTAAGTTAATTTAACACTGATGCCAAAACTTGACAAGACTGTACAAAACACATCAATTGGCCAATCTCACTCATGAATATTGGCAGTAGAAGTGATAAATGAAACATATTCCAGCAGCTCATTCCAAGATGAATATTCCACATCCACCTGGATTTATTCCAATAGTAATGAAAGGATGTTCAGTATTAGGTAATTCAGTTACCTTTGATCATATTAATTTTTTTTTATC